AGGCAACACAGGCTGCCAGGTTCTTTGCTGAGATTTTCCAGTACACTAAGGCAACAAAAACCTGATCTTCTAAAAATAAAGTGAACTTTTTTCCACGAAGTCCACACATAGAAATAAATGGCTTAGAGAAAGGTCTGGTGAACACTACTGATGAAAAACAAGAGCGGCACGAAAAAGCAGAAGCCAACAGTTAGATCAGTTCACAAAGTTCCTAAATAAGGATTTTTTTCCTAACTGCTCTTATATACTCTACGTATTTTTAAATCACATAAAAATTTCTTACAGAAAAACACACTTTCACATTCTTTCAATTTGGGGAAAAATCTTTCACATTCTTTCAATTTGGGGCATTTTGCACAAAAAAAAATAATAGGAAGACTGAGCTGAAAATGACTGTAGAATGAAAAAAAGGCTATTCAGGCTGAAGATTGCAAGAGAATCCTTAACAGTGATCTGCATCAGTCCCCCAGTGAGGACTCATTGCCTCACATTTTTAAAACCTAAAACTGTAACAACCGCTGTTCAGCGGAGTCTTGTATAAACAAGCAGAAAGGTTACAACTGTGTTAACACTGATGCTCTTCAGCTGGGAAAACTGCTAGTACAAAGCGTTCAGGGTCTTCACCTTTAGATTCTGCAAGTGTACCAGTAACAGAAAGGTTACACACCCCAAAAATCTGAACATGTGAGCAATGATCCTATATACTTTGGTAACTTTTTTTGTGCTTTTTCGTTCTTCCCATTCAGTGGTATCTCGATGCTGACCTCAACAGATCCTTTAACAATACATGTGAATAATTTACAGGGGAGTTATACAAAGGGATTAGTGTTCAGGAAAGGAGGAACAAGAAACAGTGACAGAGGGAAGTTTGCGTGACACTTAATAGCCTTGAAGAGTACAGCTGTTCACAAAAGAGCACGATCCATGCACTGCTCAAACAAAAGCCTTAATATTTGGTGTACCTGAAACGTCTTTGGAATTCCTCCAACATTGTAGTGAACCACTAGACTCACTTTGTTGTCCTTCTCCACAATTTCAAAGCTCCCTTCTTTCCATTTTGTAATCCCAGTCTGCATGCTGCGCATCCGGACAGGTCCGTGCACCTTTAGCGGAGCCATGCTTTCTCACGGAAAAGAGCTAACAAGAGCAAGCGTACTCCACCTTTAAAACCTGCTAAAGAGGAGACATTCGTTACTAGGCAGGCCAAAGAATTTCTACAGACAGACACCAGCGTGGCTTGAAGCTTCTGCAGGAGATCGGTATAACTGTTTGGCTGGTGTTTTTAGACACAGCGAAGGGAAGTTAGGCACAAGGCAACTTCGGTTAATAAAATCTCTCCCAGTTTGGGCAGCAACGCGCCGACGACTCCTCGCAGCTGAAAGCCGATCAGACCCAACCCACCGACGCAGAACTTCTCGCAAATCCTTAAAACAACTTAAAACGAGAAACAGCTTTCCCCCCCCCC